ACTTCACTAAAGAAGACATACACATGGCAAAAAAGAATGTGAAAAAAAGTTCCACATAATGTCATCAGGGAACTGCAAATTAGAATAATGATGAGATGTTACTTAATATCTATTGGAATGGCCAAAATCTAAAATACCGACAAGACTGAATGCTGATGAGGGTTTGGAGTAATAGAAACTCTTATTCATTGACGGTAGGGCTGCAAAATGGTATAGCCACTTTGGAAAACATTCTGGCAGATTTTTACTAGTTAAGTATAGTCTCACATACAATGCAATTACACTACTTGGTGTTTATGCAAATGCATTGAAAATATACGTCCACACAAAAGTCTGCATACAAATGTTTATAGCAGCTTTATTCATCGTCTGCCAAGACTTGGAAGCAACCAAGATGTCCTTCAAAAGGTGAATGGATACACTGTGGCATGACCATACAATGGAATATTACTTAGCAGTAAAAATAAATGAGACATCAACCCACAAAAAGATGTGGAGGAACCTTAAATGCATGTTGCCCAGAGAAAGAAGCCAGTATGAAAAGGCAATATACTGAGTGATTTCAAAATATGGTATTCTAAAAAAGGCAAAACTATACAGACCATGAAAAAATTAGTGGTTTCCAGTGATCCAGGGCAGGGAAGAAGGAGAGACGAATAGTCGAAGCACAGGGGATTTTTAGTACGGTGAGACAATTCTTCTTGGTACTGTAATTGAGATGTAAAACATGCCATGTTTGTCAAAAGCCACAGAATCATACAAAGAGTGGACTTCAGTTAATAATGCATCAATATTGATTTATATTTGTAACAAGCACTGTGCTAATGCAAGATATTAATAACAGGAAGCATGGGGCATTGGATGAGGTGGGAGAGTGTGTATATGGAAACTTTACGTGGTTTCTGCTCAATTTTTCTCTAAACCTAAAACTCCTCTAAAAATGAAATCTATTTAGAATGTTTATATCAAACTAGTTAACATATCATCACCTCACTTATTTAATTGATCAGCACATTGTACCCCATAAATACAGTTATGATCTAATAAAAAAATAAATAAATAAAATCTCTTAATTTAAAAAAGAAAAAGAATCTTCATGGAGTTTATACAATGGTTGGGGAAAATAAATAAATTGAATACTGATACATTCTATGGAGAAACAAAGAAAGTAGAGAAGGCTGATGGAGAGGGGAGAGCTGCCATTTTAATTGGATGACATGGAAGGTCTGTGAGAATGGATGTTTAAGAATCAATAAAAAACTCACCTGACTTCTACTGGACAGACTCACCAAACCTCATTTTCAATGAGGCTCAGGAAAACAGTAGTAAAAATGTAGATTAGATGACAGCACCTGAATCAATGCTAACATCACTAGAAGTGACAGCATCAGACTTGTGTGCCCCTGACAGAACACAGTTGGAGACATGTGATGCTACTTGGGAAGCTTGCTGCCAAAATAAATACACCAGAATCTAAGCAGCTTCACACTCAAGGGTAGGCGCATGAGAAGGACAGCGCATAGAGGAACAAGTTATTAGATTAATGAGTTGAATGAGGCTACATTGAGAAAAATCTATTAATTGCAGGTGGTAAGTTCTACAAGGCAAATGAACCAATGTTTTCAACAAGCAAATGGCTAAAAGAAGGGTGAGGGGAACCGTCATAGATAGAAGATGTAAGAGACATGTCAGTCAAATAAAGTGTGTAGATTGCATTCTTCGATTTCCACAGAACTGTAACTTATCTATGTTTGAGAAAATCAGGGGCATTTGAACATTACCCGGATAACAGATGAAACCAAGGGCATTTGAATATTACCTGGATAACAGATGAAACCAGGGGCATTTGAACATTGCCTGGATAATAGTTGAAACCAGGGGCATCTGAACATTGCCTGGATAATAGATGAAATCCTAGATTCTCAGTCTTTAGGGATTTGCTGAACACTTTCTAATACACATACTAGAACTTGGAGCAGCATAATTTAAAGGGTTAAAAAACTTAAGAACACATCACCAAACCAACAATGATTGCACTAAAACAGAGTAACAGTCTCTTCAGGTCTTCATGGAAGGCATTGACAGCTGATATGCTACTCAACTGGTTTCCCTAGCAGGGTCACAGTGTCCCCTACTTTGTGCTTAAACAATTTGAGTATAATTGTTTACTGCCACGACTATGTCCTTTATGTTTATGACAATTCCAGTGTGTCCCACTAAACACTTCTTTCTTTCCCTCTGGCTTGACGTGACCCCTTCTCTTTCCTAGTGACTTCTTTCTACACAGTGCCACGTGATAAGAGCAGCTCATCCTGAACTAAAAGTTCAATGTTGGAGCAAAAATAACCTTCCAACACTGATAAAAAACCAGTGGCATCAATGTTCAGTATTAATAGTCTATTACTTTGATTTGATCACTTGCAAGCTACATCTCTGGATTTATTATCCCACATATACCTTAAGACCCAAGGGAGGTATAGGCTAATATTGTGCTGTTATATAATTTCTTGATGTAAGAAATGACAGAGTAAAAACCACATCTTAAATCATTGTGGAAAATGTTGTCTACTCAATGACTCCTATAAAATTAAGTATCATGCTGTAGTTTACAGGCAAGAAAATGTCTGCTGCCTATCATTTATAAATGATACTTTTTCTCTGTTACCTTGATTTTCACACATCAGAACTCAGTTGAAGCCCTCATAATTAATGTAAGTTTTCTCATACAACTAATCCTGCGCATCCCCTTCCCTTCCTGCTTTGTTTAATGGCTCTATTTACATATCATTTGTTTTTCCAGCCCAAATACCCCTTCTGCAGCATCAGATAAACACCCCTCTCCCCACCTGTCCAAGCCCAACCTTGTCATCTTAGCTAGGTGGACTAACTCTTGCTGGGTGTCTGCCCAAGGCCAGAGTCCTTGCCCAACATTGTTTCGAATTGGAATCCAGGAACTAGGGAAGGATTCATCTTTTTGACCAGTGATGAAGCAGAAGGCCACAGCCTCCAAGTTGTGGAGGAGTGTGCCCCAGATGCAGAGGAGCAGAATCTGAAAGACCTACTTTCCAGCAGCTGGTCCCATTCCTCCACTCTAGGAACACGCCTGCCTGCCCGGCACTCGGGGCGTCTGAACCAGACGGTGTCCTCTTGGCCATGTCAGATGTCTGAGTGGGTCGCTGTCATTTGCAACCTAAAGCACCTGACCTGTTACAAGTTGTGCACGGTGAGCAGTCTCAAATCCTTTGCAGAAGTAGAGGAGGGATGACGACTTGAAGCCAAGCCAGGGAAGGCAGGCAGTCACATCACAGAGACTGCCCGGTGACCTGCGTGGTAGCTGTTTTGTGCTGAGATAGAATATTTGTTGCGCTCTTCCCAGGCACTTTTACATGCAGTGCCCCTTTAATCCTTCCCATGACCTTGGAAGGTAGGTAGAACAGAACAGGCATTATTATTCATATTGGTATTATCAACATCTCTCTATAAATAAGGAAACTTAGAGGCAGGGAAGTCCGGAGCCTGCGCGGACTCCCGTA